AAAAAGACCCACTTGTAATGCCATTGGGGATCAAATTCCCTGGCTGAACTATCAGGGTTTTTTTGAAGATTGCCTGGAGCCAATGATCACAGGGGATTCCTATCCGTTTTCTGTGAGACTTGTTGCAAGGAGGGCCAAACCCCTCCTTGTTTTGGTTGTTGAAATTCAGTTGAGCCTTCCTGAGAGCCGCGTGAGAAATTTTACCCAGACAAGGTGAGAAGATGGTGTTTATTCTTTGGAGGGTTTTGACTTCTTTCTGTGAAAATTCGTTTCGGATGAGTTCTTCTTCTTTTTTGAGTACGGAAGAGAGGGATTCAATGGTTTCTGGGTAGTTGTTGGCCTTGCTGAAGAGGATAGATGTTAAATATTTGTGATGGACATGAATTTGAAGAGAGCAGTGGTCAAAGTGGGGAAGATTCTAGTAGTCCAAGGATTTGTAAAGAGTTCAATCAGGGGAATCCAAGTAGAATCTAGAAAATCAATAAATTCTGAAGGATAACCACATCTATATTTTATTTTTGAATGATACAATTCATTTAATTGAGAGGGAGTAGGTTTTTTGATCAAAGTGGACCACAATTCAAGCATTTTGGATTCTAGTTGGCTATCTTTTATAAAATCTTTGGCATTGATTTTAATATTGTGATAGATGTGGTTTGCAGAGAGAAGATGTTGGGTATTGGGAAAGATTTTGTCAAGATTATCGAGAAGATCTGGATTGTGGATAGTCAAGGATAATTGAGGAAGAGGAATTTGATAGGTGGTGAATAGAGAGTGAAAGTGTTTGAGAGACCAGGAAAATGATGCGGAAGAATTAGTAGAAGTAAAAGAGAAAGCTATGGAAAAAGGTCAATTGTTCCCAGCCAGACCAGAAATATAGAGAAGAGTCATTTTGTACTTACTTTTGTTGTAAGTGGAATCTATAAAGAGTATTGCAGAATATCGAGAGAGGAGTTGAAGAGAAGAAGGATGGAAGAAAAAAAGAGCCCTGAGTTCTCCACTGGCCGTGAGATTTTCTTCAAGGGTGAATTGAGATGTGGCCAGGGATTTTTTCAACTCAAGAATTGGAGAAGAAATTTTTGAAGCTTGACAATTGGCCTGTCTTTTGATTGCATAAATATTGGCTGGAACTATAGAGTGACCTGGGTGAGATTTGCTCAGTTGGAGAATGATATTTTTGGGTTGCAAACCCTGGCTGAGGAGATTTTGTATTTCTTCTGTGAGTTCAGATTCAAATTGTCAAATTCCCCGAGCAGGAAGTTGATTGGAGTCAAAGGGGTGGTTGTGAGTTGATTTGACACAGGTGAATGTCCAGTGACCTTTGCTAGCTATAAATCTTGCAATGGCCAGAAAGGGACAGTTGATTGATTTGCTTGAGCTGGAAGACCTCCTCTAAATTAAAGAGAATCGAAAATATAACCAAAAAATCACATTCAGAAAGAGTGAAGTTGGGGAAAAAGGTAAATTGATGGAGAAAAATAAAATACCTGGAGCATTTAAAAGCTTTTCTAGTCTCATTAGCTGTCTTGAGAGAGATCATATAGCCATGATCACAAGCAAATTTCTTGACGGATTGAACCATTTCCTTTGGATCTTCAAACATCTAGTCCGGTGGAGCTGAGTCTGGGGATCCAATCGGTTGATCTTGATGTTCAGATTTGGGGTTGGAGTCTTCATTATCACTGCTGCAATCATCATCCTCATCACTATCTACAATCACATTCTTTTTAATTTTATTTTCTTTTTCATGTTTTTTTTTTTTAGTTTTCTTTTTTATTTTCCACTTTTTTTGAATTTTTATCTACTTTTTTTTATACAAGAACTTCAGAATCTTCAGAGGGGGGAGGGGCTATCATTATTATCTACTTTTCTAGTGTTATCATCTACAATTTTAGTGTTATCTACATTGGTATTTTCTTCTTCTTTTTTTCACTCATTTCAGGGAGGAGAGGATCAATATTGAGGTTCTGGGCTTGGCAGAAGCACTAGACATCATATATATGATGGATTTTCGGGGTTTTTATGGGATCTAATGGGATCAGCCTTTTTTTTGGAGTTTTTGATTTTTATTTTCTAAGTGGGGGGAGGTGTTTGTGGATGGTCTTGGGGTGGGTATGGGTGGTTTGGGTGGTTTGGGGTAGTTTTGTTGTGGTCAATGGAGGAATTGCTTCTGAAGCAAGCAAAATTCAACCCGAAATTCAACCATCAACCACGCCATAAGACCCAGTTGGATTGCATCAAAAACTTCAATGGTATGCGCATCCAATAGGGGGGTTCACGATTGAACTTTAAGGCCATTTTTAAGATGTTTCTGATCATAAATTTATAATTTTTTTGTGATGTACAGAAAGTTCAGAAACCAATAAATTGGAAAAACTCAAAAAAATTATAAAATGTTGCTCATAAACACCTTAAAAATTACTCTAAAGTTCAATCGTGAACCCCCCTAATGGACACTCCTTGAGCCAGAGTGTCCATCTGATGGGCAGTAATACCACGAGAGACTGTCCATTGGACACTCCGGCTGGAGTATCCCATGGAAAGTCATTTTAGTGGGTCCATTGTATTGTGACCTGAGGTTCAATAGTGTATGATTCCTTAGGGAAGAAGGAGTCCTTCCCACCGGAAGTCTCGGAAGAGACTTCCTCGGGTACCGTGCTGCGGCGAGGCAGATGGCCTGTAACGGGAATGTTACAACACATTGGAGACTCTCGGTTGGGATGGACAATAGATCATAGGGTCCATCGGACACTTCATATTTGGCCAGCGTCACTTGGATGCTTTTGGAAGCATCCAAGTGATGCTGGCTTGCCAGAGCGTCCCTTGGACGCTCTCTTCAGGAAATTGTCCAGTGGATGGGGCCAGTTTCAAAAAACTGGCCACATGGTGTAGATAACCAGGGACACCCAAATGACCATGGTGTATGCAATCAAGACACTATGGCCAAGAGGTTAAGGCGCTTCCCAGGGGGGCAGAGGGGGGGAGGGGAGGGTATATCAATTGTTGTATGTCAATCCATTCCAAAATTTTAGCGCACAACAGCTATTACAGAAGCTAATCTGGAGTTTGGATGATTCTCAAGAGCCAGGTGGGCTGTGTGGGCAGGGTTACAAGTAATTGATCTCTATACAGAGCTATATAAGTTTGAGAAGGTTAGAATTGTATCCAAGATTAATCAAGCCATCAATGGGTCAAGAATGAATAAATATTCCTCTTGAATTATCTCACTAAATATTGCTGTAGTTGGACTGCCTCAAATGAACCCAATACCAAATGACCACTATTCTGAATTTCCCCAAGGCATACTCTGTGGAACACCCCTTTTGATAATCAGAAGTCCCTCATCTCACAATTGCTTTTTCTGACTAATTCAT